AGCACCATAAACAGATGCTTGCATCGTGCATTTCGCAAGAGCTCAATCTCTGTGTTAGAGTTAGGCCACATGGTCCAGCCACTGGTAGCAAGTTAAACCCTGAACTTTCTGCACCAAAAGCTTTAGTCGAGGCTGCCTGAGGTGCAGGAAAATCTTTAGCCTATGGCACACACTTAAATGGGTCGGATCCACCCAGGAGAGGGCAGCTGTTTGTAGATATATCAGAGAAGTTCATCATGCACTTAGTGCTAAATCCAATGTCACTTGGTGCATCTGGATGGCTGTTACCCAGCCACAGACTTGCAGTTTTGGGGCCTTGATCTGCAGTTTAACAGTGAGTGCACTAGGGTTCACATGCCTGCAGTGGCTGGGTGGGACAGTGGTGGCATAAGGGATGCACATAGAGCCAGCGAAGCAATGATGTTTTAGCTGTACAAAAGCCTGTGGCTAGTGGCTTTTGCCCCAGGAGCAAGAGACCTTGGTGCTAGGCCTCCTCCTCAGAGGGGGCTTGAACCCACTTTTCCTGCTTCCCACGGAAATGCACTGGCCACGCGCCTGTCCTCCCTGCAAAGCTGACCCCTTAGGCAGCCCACGGGAGGAAGAGACCCAGCACGAGGGTAAGCAACTTAGTGACATGGCTGCAACTCCCGGCTCTAGCTTCAGCCCTGGCCCCGAATGGGGCAGAGACTTCCCCGCTGCTCTCCACGCACGTTATTAGTCTACTGGGAAAAGACTATTTGCATTAGACCAACGTGTAGTGGGTAGCATGTAAATGCGTGGTGCATTTAGCATCTCGTGTACATGTGCCCACCAAGTCGCACGCTAATTCAGTCGCAGAGCCGGGGAGAGAGCCCAGGAGTCTGGCTCGCCAGTCTTGTGCGCTAGCCAGTAGATTGCCTACTCTTTTGTTTAAATGACAGAGGAAATAGCCATTTTTGCTGTTGACCATTGTGGGAACTAAAAGCAGAATTGAAGGTTATATCGTGTGCACAAGCCAGTAGATTGCCTACTCCTTTATTTAAATGACAGAGAAAATAGCCATTTTTGCTGTTGACCATTGCAGGGACTAAAAGCAGAACTGAAGGTTCTCTAAGCCAATGGTTTTCATACCATAACACATCCAGAGAGAAGCTGTGGGGCTCTGGCCTCTTTGGTGGGTTGGTACAACTAAGCACAGGGCACTTCTTTTTTCTGCCTCCCCCCCAGCAATATTTTTTGCTTTCTCATACTATAACTTCACACAAAGAGCAGCAGATTTGCTAGACCAGCTCTGATTATTCACCAGAAAGTTCTGTTTTTGGTTGGTCTTCAGCAGAAATTTTCCAGGACACACTGGCGACTGCTTCCTATACCAACCCCTCCAAAACAGATCTACACCGACCCACAAAGAGACACTCTGGGTCACTTCAGGATCAACAGAAGCAGGCTGGACAACAGATTTGCAGTCAGAACCAGCTGGGTCTTGTAGTTCACGTGGGTTGAAACATGCAGATGATTGGTTCATCTCTACCCAGGCCTTGAACCAGCAAAGTAATGGAAATGTAATGTAACTTAAACATGTACTTAAGCAAAGTAATGGAACTTAAGCATGCACTTAGCTGTAAATACATGCTTAAGTTGTATCCACTTCAACAGGACTTAAGCACGTTAAGTATGAGCTCAAAGTAGTACTTTGCTCTACTTGAAGTGTCATTTTGTGGGTCTGTCCACGTGGAGACCAACAAGTGTCGGCAAACAGGAGTCTCCAACACATTTTAATCAATCACTAAACAACTACTAAATACTATCTAAATAATATAAAAATATTAATATAATAACTATGAATCTATTAATCAAATAGATAATAGCTATCTAACTTGATTTGTCTTTGGAGCTACCCGTTTACGTAACAAAAAATGTTCCTCTTTTCCTAGCTCCGTGTGTCTGGCTGTAGACCAGGGGCGGGCAATTAGTTTGGGCGGATGGCCGCTTATTGAGTTTTGGCAAGCCATTGAAGGCCGCATGACAGGCAGCTCAGGGCAGATAAATATTAATTTTCTAAATTTTTCAGGGGCCCCACAGGCTGGATAGAATGGCCTGGCAGGCTGCATTTGGCCCCGGGCCTCATTTTGCCCACCCCTGCTGTAGATCAAGGAGGGGTGTTGTCCCACTTCTCTTGCTCAGATGCATTAATGTCTGAAAATGACTTTGTAGCTAAGAAAAGATATCATGTCTACCCAAATCTTGTTGGTCTAATAAAAGACATCACCTCTGTCCACGAGCCCTGATTGCTTTTTAGCTAAACATAACATTTTGCAGAAGGGCAACAAGGGACAGAAGTATTTAGAGGGTACCTTTAAAATGGAGCTTCAATTTATGCTGAAAAGCGCTAATTGGTCTTGTCTTTCTTTTCGCTCCAAACAGCCAAGAATTCCAACTCTTGTCAAAAAACCCAGCAAGTCTTTTCTGGAAACATTTCAAAATGTTTTTACAGAAAATGTGCTTTTGACTGTAAAAAAAATAATCTATTTTTAATAATCTGCTTTTAAGCTGCAGCTAAAAATAACCTTAAACACACACTTGACAAGTAACAGCAAGGTATGTGACAGTCAAAAGCTGTTTATTATTCCAGTCTAATTTCATTAGATGGTGATCGTTCGGCTCTAGAGTCAACACGGTTTAGGCCAGGCTTTCAGACTGATCCAAAGTCTCAGGATTGATTTTCCATTATCTGCCAAATATCCAGCCTGTGTTCTTCAGCTGTGGTCCTAGAAGCTGCCCAATGAACATTACCAGAAGCAAAATGAAAAATGAAATGCTCTGAATTGTCCATGGATTTTTATTTATCACAAACCCGTGTTTAATTTTGTGCCTCTTCAGGCTGTCTGCAAAGGGCTCTTTTCCTGACAAGGACAGCTGCTCGTGGAAGATAGATTGTCCACTTGAGTGAACCTTTTACAAAATTCTAGGGAAGGTGTTTTCGATGGGACACGGAAGGAAATCCAACACGGAAATGAATTATCACCCACCAAAAAGTGAATAAATGGCTTGGAAGTACGGATCTTGGACCCCAAGAATGCGTTTCTGGTGAGACTTGGAGGATGCTTTGCAAGCAGATCTCCATGGCTTGCTGCAATTAAATGCTTTCTTGGTGACTTCCAATTAAACCAAGTTCTTATGAAGAGCTTCAAGCTTAAATAGCCCAAAAGCAATATTCGTTATGGGTCTTGGGAGCGGACCTCCACATCTTCCCCTTTCCAAAGCATGTCTGTCTGCTCACATTGTACCAGGCAATTTGTGCATGCTTTGCAATCAAGATATTTTTAAAGGAAATAAATGATGCCCCCCCCCCCCGTTTTATGTAGCACCAATGCATTTAGGGCTAGCTCCAAAGACAAGCTCAAGCCAGGTATTTTTGAGGGTGCTGCATTCAGTACCATCAAGATATATTCAGGAAAAACATTTCTGGATGGCCTCTCGTGGCATGCAATCCATTTCAGGTTTGTCCACATGGGGTAATTGCCCAGAACAGCTATTGTGAAATAAGATTTTCTGCAACAGCTATTCCCTCCGGTCTTTCAGCAAAGTGCCTTGTGTAGACAAGGCCAAGGAGGGTGCATTACGTTTGCTTCTTCTGGTAGAAGGTGGGCAGCTGACAGCCGTAATCCTCCACCCGGGTGCCATGGCCCAGTGGGGGCCTTTGAGATCCTTTCAGGGGTGCCACAGGGTGCCACGCAATGTTGGCACGGGGAGGCGCGCAAACCTGATTCATACAATACATCCAGAAATGTCAAATAAGCATCCATAGCGATAGAAACACTCTGACCTGCTGCCGTCTTGCTGAGCTCCTTGCAACAGAAAAAATGACTGGATTATTCTTCTTCCATTGTCAAAAAAAGCAAGTGAAAATTAAGAGCCGGCATTTTCTGAGGGCTGCTTCCTTTCTTCCTATGGAGTTACTGCTTGTTCCTTTACATATTGCTATATGCATACATATTTGTGGGTGTGTCACACACTGCTTGTTCGTTTACATATATATATATACATGTGTATGTGTGTGTGTATCACACACATATACATATGTATAAATATGTATGTACACATATACACACATACACAAACCAACAAGGAGAAAACCCACAGGAAGAAAGGATTCACAAAAGCTAATCCAGGGAATGGGACAAGAACCCGTAGTCCCTGTTTCAACCATACGCGACACGGGCCCGTCTGTGCATGGTTTCTTGGCTTGCAGTTTCCCGTGCAAAGCGGTTTTTAAAAGTTTGTCACCTAAGAACGGGCCTCGTGGAGCATCTGGGGAAGTTAAAGTGTTTTGCCACAGGCCTGAGTGTCTTTTGGCAGCCGGTGTCAGAGTGGTGCGCGCGCACGCACGCACGCACGCACGCACGCACGCACGCACACACACACACAC